CGTGTGTGTGCATGGGCAGACGTGTGTATATGGGCAGGCATGTGTGTGCATGGGCAGGCGTGTGTGTGCATGGGCGGACATGTGTGTGCATGGGCGGGCATGTGTGTGTGGGGACATGTGTGTGCATGGGCAGGTGTGTGTGTGCATGGGCAGGCGTGTGTGTGCATGGGGAGGCATGTGTGTGGGGGGACATGTGTGTGCATGGGCAGGTGTGTGTGTGGACATATGTGTGCATGGGTGGACATGTGTGTGCATGGGCGGACGTGTGTGTGGGGACATGTGTGTGCGTGGGAAGACGTGTGTGTGCATGGGCAGGCATGTGTGTGCATGGGCAGGCGTGTGTGTGTGGGGACATGTGTGTGCATGGGCTGGCGTGTGTGTGCATGGGCAGGCATGTGTGTGCATGGGCTGGCGTGTGTGTGCAGTTTACAGGATGGCTCTCAGGAGACAGCACAAAGCAGAGACCACAATTCCCACTTCCCCAGGCACTGTCCATCCAGCTCCACGTCTGGAGAGGGTGCCCGTGATGCCACCCGCACCCCGGGAATCCAGCCTCCCTCCCTGGTCTGGGAGACATTGGCACTGCATCGGGTGGGCAGGGCCGAGGTGCACAGCCCTGCACCTTCGAGTTCAACCGGCACAGCCCGAGCCCCCCATGTCGCCGGCTGCCGTTTCGCACCTTCATCGCGGCGGTTCCTCGCCGGAGTGAGAGGTCTGCAGGAAGCTGTTCCGGCAGCCCAAGCGGTGGCTGGAGCGGCAGCAACGGCAGCAGGAAGAACAGCACTGGCACCCTCCAAATTGGGACTCTAGCCCTTTAAATCTGCTCAGTTACCAAAAAAGAAGAGGCATCAGACCCTGTTAATTAAAGCTCGCCCTGGTCCATCATTCTGAGGAGCTGCAGGGCTCTGCTCCTTCCTGATGGCTTAGAGATTCTCCTAAACTCCCAGCCATGGATCTTGGAGCATTTCCCCCGAGATCAGCAGGAGGTATGATCCTTGTCGATGGCACTCTGGGGCTTGTGTGGCTACATCAATAATACCACCGGCTGCATGGAAACTGCCTGGCCCCCTGTCTTTCCCTCTTTCCCTCTGCCTCCTCTCCAGTTTCCCAGCTTATGTTTAGTGGAGACATATCAAGTTTTCCTGGGGGTTCGGAGGAAGGGGTGGGGAGGGGGGGTCTGGGGGTAGCTCCCAGGGTGTGTGTCTTAGTCCTGGCTTCACCTAGCTGCCAAAGTGATTTGGAGGAGCTGGGGAACATGTTTCTTCAAGCCCTGGGGGCTCATGCAGAACCCTCTCCTCCTTGCTGGGTCCCTTCCCTTGGGGAATCATGAAAAGGGCATAACCCTGAGTTGACTCGTTCCTTAAATCAATGACCTGCCACTCGGTTGGCCTGAAGATGGATGTGTGGCTGCTCCCCTGTGTTATTGGAAAACTCATTCCATCCAACTTTCTTTTCCATAGATTGTCCCGGCAGGAACCCCTCACTGGTACCTGTCCTCCAGCCTCCTCTTCCCTACCTTAATGCTGCTAGGCGAAAAATGCTTGTTGTAGGATTTCAGGACTTTGTAACCCCGTCCCTGTGCCTTTTGAGGAAACTCACTTCTAGCTGAGCCTCAGGTTCTGTTGCAAAGAGTTGTTTTTATTCCGGAATCTGCTCTAGTCTGGCAGAGAGGGGGAGGAGATTTATCTTCTTTTACATTGCATTTTGTAAATTGTACTCGGGCCCAAAGAACATCTATCTGCAAATCCTCCATTGATTTGTTTTCGCCCCCACATCTTCCTTCTGGGTGAAATGCTCTTCTTGAGTCATACCCGAAGGAGAGGTTTCCTTTCAGTCAGCTTGACACAACTCTACAGCCGTCCCTGAAAGCCAGGCCATAGCAGAGGGGGCCATTTTCACTGTCCTGAGTTAGAGTCCCTAGGAGCCCAGAGCCTGGGTCCATGTGTGCTGGCAGAGTGGGGGGCTTCCAGGGGCTAACACCCACCCCCACCTGGGAAAGTAGCTTAGGAGGGAAAAAGGACTTTCATTGATTTTTTCCCAGGGGCTTTAAAACACACCGGATGATTAACATCACTTCTCAAGTCTTGAGAGGGATCTGAGCCAAAGCACAGTTCATGGGACTGGGGATTTTCCCCCAAAGTTCTTGCCTGCAGAGTCCTAAACCGTTCACGTGAACAGTAGTTCTGATGGGTGTAGCTAAACCCTCTCCAACCCTCCAGCAAAGGATGGGAACTTTCTCTGAGTGAATGTCGGGGAAGTCAGGATGTCTGCCTCCCAGACACTGTGGGTGCAAAGTGATTCCTATTCTCAGAATAATAAAACTCTCAGCTGTGGCAGAAACGTTCTGGTTTGGAGAGACTATTCGAAGCCTACAAATGAAGCCCTTGATGGAATTCCTAATCACTGTGCCTGGCAGTGGATCTGTGTAATAATTTGAGGATTCTGAGGGAGGCGCCCAGGGAGAGATGTTTCCTGCAAACAGAAACCCACCACGGAGGCAGGATGTTGGGAGCACCATGCAGGTGAAGAAAGGGGGCCCATGGGAGGTGGTGTCGCAGGTGTGGTCCCCACTTCAGGCTTTGCTTTCGGCTGGGGGGTGGATGGCTTCACTGAGGCTTGGGCTGTCACCTGGAGCTGGGATGTAAGTAGGACCGTGGCCACTTCCCTGAGCTCACAGAGTGTCCAACCCGGGAGCTCCTCCCACGGCGATGGGTACCTCTTCTTGCTCTCCTCCTTCTGCCCCCTTGGGGCCTGAACACTACAGGCCCTCTGCCTCTCTGGGCACTCTTGCTTGAGTCAACACTCTTCCTCGGCCACTTTCTAGAGGAAGCCAAAGGAACCCGGGCTTCACAAAATGCCCCCTTCAGGGTAGGGAGAGGCTTGTCTTTGGACCGGCTGGAGCCTATTAACAATAAGTAAATAAGTAGACTGTTCCTTTGTGTCAATTTTTCTTTTCAACTTAATGATGTGTGTTTGTGTGTGTGTTTGTGTGTGTAGTGTTTTAATTTACTGGTTGGCTGTTGGCTTTCAAAAAGCTGTAAATGGGTCCCCATGGTGTTTGTGTAGACATGGCAACTTTGTACGGTTTTGTGGTCCATGGATATTCTTGGAATGGCCTTAGAGGGTATTCTCATTACCAGGGAGGTGGAGTGGAGAGGTCATGGCCTTGGAGGAATGGCAGATCTTCACTGGTGTCCTAGCACCATGACGTACTGACGTGAGGTTCTGGCCAGCTATTTAATTTCAGTGGGTCTCAGTTTCTTCAGTCTGTGATACCGTAGAGTTGTCAGGATTAAATGGAATAACTTAACCAAAGTCTGTGTGCGCAGCCGGTACAAAAGAAATCTTTCCTCTTGTCTTTTGATGAAGACATCTGCCTCTAATTAAGCGAAGCTTAACATGAAGGATAAAACCACTTAAATAACTCCAGTGGCACCTTCACTGACTGTGGGGCCGTGCCTCCTCCAAGGGCAGGGACCACCTCTTCCATGTCATTACCCTCCTCCCAGTGCCACTGAAACTACATAAAGGTTCATTGAATGAATACATGATGGTGTGCGGACGCTTAACCTTCACCATAGCTGGTTTTTAATGACTAAGCGAAATCACTTCTCGTTTAGTCTACTTAAGAAATGCAGCTAAGCCAGACAGATCAAAGAGCCACATGACTGTAATAAATTTGGACTAAAATATATCCTTTTGTGGGGAAATTTGAGTTGTAATAAAAAATATCTCGTGCACTAGGACCTGCATCAGGTGCCTGTGGACTCCTAATTGTCCTTGAAGCCATTCTGATTGCTAAGGAGAAGTCAAGGTGACTTCTGCCCTCCCTCATGATGTGCTAGACTCCCTCTTCTTCAGGCTTTGAAGAAGAGGGTCTGAAGAGGGAAAAGAGCTCTAGGTGGGAAGAGGCACTCACCCTGTCACTCCGGTGTGTGGAGCCAGTCAGTCACTGTATCAATCAATTAATTAGTAAGTTGAGCTGTGTATGGACACTTACTACATAACTGAGGAGAGTCATTGATTGAATAAATGTTTATCAAAGATAGCAGTAATAATAATAATTATCCCACCACCGCTACCGAACAGAAGGTCTCCTTGGCCAGGGGCTGGAGATACCCACCTGAGAGTGACATGCAGCTCTGCTCTCAAGCACGAGGACAGACCAGTAGACAAAGGGTGTCAGGGAGACTGGTACAGGCTAGGAGAGGCAAGAGCCCGGTACATTGTGGGGGCACAGGGGTGGGTCTACCCTAACTTGATTGACCCCCGAAATGAGTCCCCAAAGAGGTAGTTTTGGAAGAGTGTTCTTGGGAGAGGAGGCCAGTGGTGGATGAGCCACCAAATATGGTGGTGGGTAATTCCACTGGGCTGTGTTCTGGAGGGCCATGTGAGAAAGGAGGCTGGAGAGCTGGGCAGGGGGCCAGATCCCAAAGGGCCTCCCATGCCCACAAAGAATGGGACTTTATTCTGAGGGACATAAAGAGTCACCGAGGGGTTTTAAGCAAGAGAATCACTTGGGAAAATTAAATTCAACAAATGTTAATGGACAGCAGTCATATACCAAGCTGTATTCTAGGCTCTGAGGCTACAGCAGTGAACAAACCAGACAGAAACTTTGTCCTTGTAGTACTTTCATCCAGTGGAGAAGACAGAAAGTGAGGAAAGAAAGGTGAATTGTAAATTGTAAATAGCACGTTAGGGGGAGATAGAAAGCAGAGAAGGAGGGGAGGGTGCAGGGACAGTGATGGGGCCTGGGTGTGTGCAGTCCTACAAGGAGGGAGGGAGAAGGTAACACTGGAATATAGATGCTTGGAGGTGTCATAAGAACTTCGGCTTTTGATGAGATGGAAGTTAGCACCAGGCTCTGAGCAGAGGGGAGAACCCTAAAAATGCTCCTTCTAACTACCGTGCTGCAAAAAGGTTGTAGGTGGGCTTAGGTGGAAGCTGGAAGACTATCGAGGAGAACACAAAATCCCGGTGAGAGAGGATGGTGGCTGGACAAGTGGTCACAGTGGAGTGTGAAGAGTACTAGGGTTCTGGACTTTCTCTCTCTCTCTTTTTTAGGATGGAGGCAGTGGGATTTGCGGATGGATTGGGTAGTTGTGTGAGAGAAAGATGAGTCAAGGATGACTCAAGCTTCGTTGGCCTCCCATGGGGATGACTGTGGGTGGAGGAGGTTTGGGAGAAGATCAGGGGTTCGGTGTTTCTCCTGTTAACTTCAAGGCGTCTGTTGAGCATCCCAGGAGAGATGTTGAGTGGGCAGTCCTGAGTTCACAGCAGAGATCCGGGCTGGATACAGCCTTGGGAGCCATCAAAGGACAGATGGTATTTAAAACTATCTCAGATGAAATCATCAGGAGACAGATTATGATGCAGAGGACTGAATTTTGAGGCATTACAACTATTTGCAGGTTTCAGAGAGGAGGAGAAACCAATCAAGGATATTGAAGAAGAGGTTTCTCTTCTGTTCAAGACAATTCACCCCCTTCCTACATTCTTTCTCCTCTCCTCTCCTGGGAGCAAGATTCATAGATCACCCTCCTCATTGTCAACATATCCTTTTCTCCTGGCTTCTTCCCAACCCCCTGGAGATCTGCTCAGATCTCTCTCCTTTTAAAAAGAACCCTTCTTGACCCCTAAGTCCTCCACTCACTTTTACCCGATTTCTCTCTCTCTTTTCTTTCTCTCTTTCAACATTAATCAAACAACTACTATATGCTGGGCATGAAGGTTGTAGAGACAAAAAATATACTTTATCCTACCTGAAAGACTACTTCTACTTCACCTACATCCATAAAGCCTTGTGGATGTGTACATATAGTGAAATCTAAAGGATATAATCATAAAATACGGATACAATTTTTGTACCAAGGAAAATATAATTTAGAGTAGAAGAGCAAGATTGGAAAAAAAGTAGAATGCACACATAAAGGCCAAAATGTTGTATAAGAATGTAATTGAGCCACCAACCTGATCAAGGAAC